TCCTGCCTGCGTCTCCCCCAGGGCTCACAGCTCAGTCCTCTACCCTGTGCAGCGCCAGTGACTTCAGTTCAATGACTTCCCCAAGCTCAGTCCTCCCCAAGGTCCTTCCTCAAAACCAATTTTCCAATGGAACCAGTTCCACAGAGCCCAATTAGTGCTAGGTTACATAACAAAGAAGAAAACGATGATCAATTTCAAGCTGCTTTTTGGTCATCCTAGTCTGGATCACCCTCATCCATACAAACACAAATGGTCCCAAAGGCTGTGAGTGACACGGGTGAAAAGAACGCATCCAGGACAAAGAGCCGGGAAGGGAGCACCAGGATGATCTTGCTCTTCAACCCAAATCACACCACATGAGCTCCTCCTCTTGGGACCAGAACCTCCCACATCTCCAGCACAGGTACACGAAGACACACTTGTTTATGTGTATACTAAACACTGCTAATTCTAACTCTCAACTGGCTTTGCATTATGTTCCAGATTGGAGATTAATAAGATGGTTTCAAAGGCATTCATAGAGTGGTAAAAGAAGCAGGTATATGCATATGTGTTCATATTTACATGTGATATTTGCTTATACATGCATACGTATGAGGATATATGTATAAGAACATAGAGAGAAAAGGAGAGATTGAGAGACAGAGAAGCAGAGAATGGGTTTTGAGCTGATCAGACAAAACTATTGAATTGCAAAGAAATCAGAAAGGAGAGTTTCATCAAACCTCTGACACTATGACCATGTGTTTAAGTGATCAATAATTACAGTCATTATAGAGTCAGTGACTTTTTAAAAAATTGTTATAATTTATTTTTATTTTATGTATATGAGTGCTATGCCTGCATGTGTGTATGTGCACCCATATCATGCAGTGCCCTCGGAGGACAGAAGAGGGTCTTAGATCCCCTGGAACTGGAGTTATAGAAGGTTGTTAGCCACCATGTGGGTGCTAGGATTCAAACCCGGGTCTTCGGCAAGAGCAATCAGTGCTCTTAACCACTGAGTCATCTCTTCAGTCCAAGTCAGTGGCTTTTATCTCACAATCTGAAATGCATCTTTCTGGGCACCATCCTGACTACTACCTTGCAAGATGGAGCTCTGTATCCCCACTTTATAGATGGAGATATTGAGGCTCAAGTATTTAACTTGTCCCAGAACATCTCTTGAGAAAGTCATAGGGCCAAAAATCAAACCCAAGTTCCTCTGACAAATAAGTCCAAATTTTACTTGATATAGGACAAGAGAAAAATCTAAAATGTCTATATCAAAAATGATAGCTCCCAGGATTGAGAGCAGGTGTGTTCACTAAGCCAAACACTATTTGTGGCTAATCTCACACCCTGAAGCCAGCTCTGGAAATACAGCGGAGTCTGGGAAGAGGCTCCAGCTCTGAGGGCCTACAGGGCAGCTCTGGAGGAAATACAGGCATGCTGGAGGGAAAGGCACGACCTTTTGGGAGGGGCCAGCCCAGAAGGTTCCTAGGGAAGACCATGTACACATATCCACATTTGGATAATAGCTTGAATTAAGCTGAGGATAGACTAGAGGGTCCAGGGTAGGGAAGCAGCACTTCCTGGCCCAGGAACCACAGGTGACTCAGGATGATTGCAGGTCAGAGTACACTTCGATTAGATGGAGATAACATTTTTGGCATTCATGTTTCAGTTGGAGACGTAACTCTGAAACTCCCCTAGGAGACACGTGCTACTTAGTGCCTAGGATGATTAAGGACAATTTATCACACAACTCTCACAAAACAGGCGCTGTAGTATGCCATGTGGAATAGTCAAGGATGGTTTTTTGAGTCTGTAGGAGGGAGGATGAGGCTGCCGCTGTGAGCCAGAACACCAGCTTCTGCAGATGAAAGCAAAATCTGCTTTCCTCCTTTCACACACAGGCTTGTTTACACACTCACTGGGTGAGCACTTTGGTAAGTGCTGGGCTATACTCAGGAACTGTCCTGTGTGACCTCTATGCCTGAAGGTTGGGAACTAAAAAGGCAAAGTGTGTGTACTGAGTCATGAGCCTGTGAGAGCACTAGCCTTTTACCAAATTTAGCATAACCTTCAGGTGACTGGAGTACATAGTCTTCTTTCTCTTGGTTAAGACATACCCGGAATACTTTCCCAGCTTTACTCAGAGAGCATGTGTAATACATATAATCTGGTTTGTCAAGGGATCCGAGGAAAGTACATTTTATGAATATCCAAGTCATAATAAGATAAACAGGAGGGGTTATAACTTCCTGGCCACTGTATTATTTCTCAAACTGGAATACATTTGCATTGAAAATGCGATGCTCTGTGGAAACCACAAATGGTTGTCAGGAATCACTTTCTCGATCCCCTTGAGCACTAAGCAACAAATATGAAGGCAGAACACACTGCTCATCACAGAAATGACATCTTAAACAAGCCTGAAGCTGGGAACATAGACTGGCAGACAGTCTGGATGGCACATGCCACTCTGCCAGGCAGCTCCACACACGTTCGCCATGGTCTTCTACATATGAACACAGAAGTGCGTCAAGAAAGAAAGCTATTTCTGTGTTCAGTCTTCCTCACAGGTCCTCCTAGGTCTTCTCTCCCAATGATGGAAATAATAACAATAGGAACCATAAAAACAGCAAAGTCAGAGGCCAGGAGCATTACAGAGAAAGCACATGATTTTATTGTCCTAAACATTCTTTAGGGGGTATATGATTTGGAAATATAACATGCAAGTGTATTGCAATAATGAAAGTCTGTACTGTAAGTATCAACTAAAGTGTCATAATATATGTTTCTGTTGTGATTAAATATTACTTGTCTCAAAAAAAAAAAAAAAAAAAAAACCCCATAAAACCAGCAAATGGTGCTCTTTGCTTCCCTCTACTGGCTGAAAGGGTACAGAAGCAAGAACCGGAGAATTCTGATAGCTCTCACTCCCAAGGCCAATAAACATTTTGTTGTTGTGGTGGTGGTGGTGGTTGTCTTTTTGAGACAGGGTCTCTCTGTAGCCCCAGCTGACCTGGAGCTCACTATGTAGACCAGGCTGGCCTTGAACTCACAGAGATCTGCCTGCCTCTGCCTCCCAAGTGCTGGGATTAAGGCATGCAACACCATGCCCGGCTGAATAAACTTTTTTAGAGAAGACAAATGGCTGGCTTTAACCATGAAATGGATATGTTTTAAATGATGAAGATAAAGGATCTTGGTTAAAATGCATATAATTATTCACATAAGCTGAATCACTGAAAACCTGCATTTAATTTTTTTTAACTTTCCCTCTTTTTCCATTCTCACCAGAGAATGAGCATGACCTCTCCCATCTTTACTTGCTGTGATCACCCTACCCTCTTTGTGGACATCTGCTTATAAACATGCCATTTGTTCTGCTACATAGCCATAACCTAAAAAGAAGGAAGAGAAGGAGAGGGAGGGAGGGAGGCAAGGAGGGAAATCTAAATGAAATCTAACCTATCTGTGTCAAAAAACAGTATCTATACCAAAAACCAGCATCAGGAAGGATTATAAGCAGGTGCGTTCACTAAACCAAATATCACTCCTGCACTGAAGGAGAGCAAATGATTTAGATGTTCATTGTTTTTTAATTTTATTTTTACCAAAACAAGAAAATCTTACATTGATCCTTCAAACCAGAGACTGACTCCTTTATCATATCACTCTGAGGCACTTTCATAGAGTTTTTCCTCTGTCTTCTCCCATAAAGAAATTGTTTTTTAAGGGTGGGGGGGCTGGGGGGGCAGCAAGGATGCTCGTTTATAAAAATCTTTTCAAAATTGTGCCACCAAAAATTAAAAGATTAAAATGAACAGAAACTCCTCCCTTCTCAAATGTATCACTTGCAAATGACAGAAAGGGCAGTTCTCAAAGTACAGGCAAAAATTGTCTGCCTGTCCAACCCCCCAGCCTCCAGAGCGATTCAATCTGATGAGCATTCCTTCCCTGAGATGCTCAACACCGGTCTAAATCAGGGTGTTTCTAGCAGCGAGTCTTTTCCAACAGGCGCAAAACCCTCATTCCTCAGAAGATCGCCGGGCAAGATTGCAAGAATCACATATGCCCACCGTCGTCACCTGGCAGAAACCAAACACAAGCCCTCCTTCCTAGTCAACAGTGCAGAGGAGAATCAACAAGTACCACTAAGCTGAGCGTTCCATCCTGGATCTGCAAGGGCCTCGCCTGCGCCCACCACCATCCACCCCAATCCAGCTGGGCTTCAACAGGCCTCCCCGCCTCCTGCCAGCACACGACCTTCGGTTTCAGACCCGCCCTCCAGATGCCTGCACCCCAGCCTGCGCTCCTCCCCAAGCTCCCAGACAGCTGTCAAAGTCCGGGGACTTCGCTTGCCAGCGGTCGCCAGGATCTTGGACGGTTGGGAAGGTCAAGATTTTCAGACCAACTAGGTGGAAAAAGGAAGGGCGTTAGGCTCGGGGACTCGGACCTCGGGAGAAGAGCGCAGTCCGAGCAGCAGTGGGGACGTCCCCATCACATAGCGCCCATCCGGATGGCGTGCTTTCCCAGCCGGACCAGAGCCGCGCTGGGGACCTGCGGAGTGCCAGGGTGCGGGGAAAGACTTCCTGGGAGCCTACAAGTTTCCACTGCATCCTCAAGTAGGGGCACCAGTCTAGCTCGCTCGGCTTGCTCCTTTGAGGATACCGCCGATCGTCCGCTCCGGGCAAGAGCAGACACCTGCTTCTCTCAGCTGCGGCGCCCGCACCCTGCCCTGCTCCGAGCATTCCCGAACCACAGCCGGAGCCTGCGGTGCTCCCACCCCGGCGCAGACAGCCCCCGAAGTTCTCCGCACTCCGCAGACCTCGCCTTCTCCGGGGCGCCTGGACCCACCCAGGGGTTGGGCCAGAGAACCGCTGACTCCGGGGACCCGGCGCGCAGAGGCTGCAATAGGGGAGGGTGGGCAAAGCCGGCGCCAGCCAGCCGGTCGGCACTCTTCAGTCCTGCCTCCCTCCCGGAGAGGAGGAAACTTCCCCAGCACCCACCTTTCGCCGCGAGGAGGCGGCGCCGCCGGCTGTCTCCGCCGCAGCCGCCGCTCCCCACGCCCAGCGCCAGCAGGAGCGGCACCCAGCACAGCCTCCCAGGCAGCATCCTCGCCGTCGCCGACGCCGCCAACTGGCTGCCGCCGACGCCCAACGCCCGCGCCGGCCTGGCCTGCCGGTGCCTGCCATGGCGTCGCCGCCGCGCTCGGCCTCCGGTGCCCTCCGCCGCGCCGCTCTCTCGCCGGCAGCAGCCGCGCTCACTGGCGCGGACCCGGAGCGGCTCCGGCGCTCACCCCGGGACGGCCCGTGACGTCACGGAGGGAGGGAGGTGGCTCGTGCATATTCATGAGACGCGGACACTGGCGCGGGGTTGCGCGCTTCCCCGCCTCGCAGCTCCTGCCCCCAACTTTCCTCCGGCTGATGCCTCGCAGGCACTCTCGCGACCCCGCATGGGTGAGGTCCCTAGGGGGCAGCTCCCGGGGACTCTCGGGCCTGGGGTACCCGCTGCGGCTCTCCGAACTGCTGCTGTGAGGCAGGGTGAGCGCCCCTAGAAAGTGATCACCTGGGGCCTGGGGAATCTTCGGAGAGGCCGAGGGGCGTACCCCTAGGCATCCTTTGAACTGACATCCCTGCGAGGGGCCAGGCAGACGTCCCCGCGGGTCCTGCCCTTGGCTAGGTCTGGGGACCGGCGCTCTCTGCCGCCTGGTCTGGGGAGGGCGCCAGGCCCTCACTAGAGCCGGGAAGCATAAATGCTGCTTGGAGTTGTAGGACCTCCCTGGCAGTGGCCTTCCTGGCCTGGAGCCAACGCAGAGCAGCAGGGGCAGCCGCTGCTCAAGGCTGAGGGACTAGCTAAGCGAAAAGAGGCAACCTCTGGTCTGCATTAGGCACATTTAAACTTTCCATTCAGAAGTTAGCGCCTTTACCTTGTCACTGCATCTGTTAGAGCACACCGACTTGATGTCATGCCTTGTAAAATCTCATGGCAGGGAATACCTGCCATATCCCCTGGAGGCAGGGGTCTTACAAGTCTGCACACCCTCAAGCACGTCCAGGTCGCAGAAGGACTCTGATGGTTCTCGACAAAATCAACTAAAGGCTCAGAATTAATCGGTGGCTGTATTTCCACACACGTCACAATACAAGGGTCATACATACTTTGGAAAAAAAGGAAGAGAAACACAGAAACAAACAAAATTATTCACTCATCCCTTCCTTCCTTTACTTAAGACGTTTCTTGAGCACTAGACAGGTTGTGAGCACTGGGTTAGGCACTGCAGGCCACAAAGCCTTTATTCCCCTCCTGGAGAAGGCAGGGAAGGGAATGAAAGCAATTACAATCCACGGGTTTTCAGTCCTGCCCATTCTTTATACTGCTGGATATGTGCCTCTACAAGTCATCTAGCCAAATGTGTACATTGCAAAGAAACTAAACAGCATCTCATAATTAATAAGCGTAGTTTAAGGCACTCAACAAAGCCATAAAATGTATTAACAGCCCTCTGCTACCCACCCTGTGCGGCCCTGGCAGCACACTCGGGGCACTGTGGTGGTGAAAGCCAAGCCAGTTCTTTAGCTTTTCAGACACCAAGAGGTGCTTGTCAACAACTGAAAAGCCTAGAGGATGCAGGAAGCTCAGACCCAGTGAGGCTCTTCACCCACAGGTCTCTGGTGCACAAATCAATACCTTTTCTAGTACTCTCACTTTGAAGATGCAGAAATGGAGGCTTGAAAAAGTTAGGTCATTTTCTTGCCCAGTCCAACAGCAAGACCTAACCATTCTCCAATCTTAAAGTCATAATCCAGAAAGGATGGTAGACAGAGGTGGATGCTGACCCAGGCAAAGTGAGAGAAGTCAGAATGTAGGAGAAATGTAAATTTGACTAGTTTTCTTTCATTTGTGATCCACCCAATTCAATTACATATCTACTCCCTCCTGATTTTCCCTCACAAGAATTTCCTTACTGACTTTACATCACTATTCCTTGATGTCATTATGCCAGGTGTTGTTAAAATCTATTGGTCTCAAATATTTGACATGAAGTTTCAAATTCAGCTGAAAGAATAGAAAGAGTGGGACGTACAACTAATCAGAAAACACCCCCAAGCAGGAGATGACTGGGAAAGAACACAGTAGAGAATCACTGTAGGGCAGGGTACTTATCAATTAGCACCACACTGCCACTGTCCATCTCCTCTTCTATGTATGAGGATAAGAAGACTGTGCTAGATCAAGGGCATCAGTAGTCTGATTAGTCATGCCTCTCTGGTCCTGCTCCTTGTGGTGGTGCTCTGCTACTCCAGCTTAGAGCTTGATTGTGTGGTTTGCTTGGGCCAATGGAATGATCATATGCATGCTTTCTTTATCGTTCTTGGACTCCTGCCAGGGCCATGAGGAGAAATGCAGACTAAACCTCCAGGAGGGTCAGAGACTAACATGGGACAGAGCTTAGTTGCCCCGGGTAGCTAGGACTAATCTAACCTGGTCAGTGCAAATGACTCACAAGTTGACCACAGAGAAATGATCAAGCTCAGCCAAGATCAAGCAAGCCTGACCCACATCAGTACTATCCAGCTGACACTTGAGAAATATTAATGGTTATTCCATTAAGTCACAGTGTTTGGGAGTAATTGATTAAGCAATATTATATCTATTGCATAAGGTCATTGCAAGAAGTGAGGAGATGAATATGAAAGGCTCAATATGCTGTACATGGTCAATGTTCAAACCATGCAAAAATGTCTTCCCTTTAAGCCTACTTCCCATCTCTGGATATGCCAGTCACAACCATGATTTAGCTTGTTTAAGGAAAAAGCAAAATTACCTGGCTCAGAGCAAATGAAGGTAAGAAAGTTTACCTTAAAAATACTCAGTCACTGGGGACTGGAGAGATGGCTCAGCAGTTAAAAGCAATGGCTGCTCTTGCAGAGATCCTGGGTTCAATTCCCAGCACCCACATGGCAGCTAATAACTATCCCTAATTCCAGTTCCAGGGGATCTGACGCCTTCTTGTGACCTCTTCAGGCTTTGCACAACATGGGTACATTTACGGACATGCAAGCAATACACTCATATACATAAGATAAAATAAAAATAATAAATAAAATATTTTTTAAAATACTCAGGCCACAAGAGCTTCCAATTTGTCTAGAGCATGACTATGCTTGCTGCTTCTGCTGAGCCATCCCAAGTGCAAACACTGGATCAAGCAACCCAACAGAGAATGTATCCCCAATTACGCAGTAATGGGAGTTGTGTATTTCATGTGGCCTCTAATCTGCGCAACAGCAGTTATTTCCTGTTTTATTATAATCAAATTTCCACCTCTGAAATTTTGAATAACTTATCCACATTTACATAATTGTGCAGAATATCAATTCACATATGCCTAATTCCAGATTCGCTTTCCCCGTATGTGATGGTTTGGATAAAGGTATGGATAATAAGTTCAGATCAGAAAAGGTAGCTTTGGGGATTTTACTTTTTAAAATCTTAATCCTTTATCATTTCTGACTGGTGACTATTTGAATGACCAAAGTGGTGACATATATCTCTAAACCTATTGAGGCTGCATCCTTACCCCTGACTCACTCTTATGGTCTACTCCACTAAAGACCTTGTTCAAAATCTAGTGTGTATGATTATGGAAGGTTTTAGCTGCTCTAAGTCTCAAGTCCAGGGCCCCACCTGCAAGGCAATAATGAATCCCAGGCAATTCATCTGGGTCCATAGTTTCAATAAATAAATAGCTCCCCATTCCAGAAAATAGAATCTAAGAGGAACAGATCTCACATACAGCCATTCTCTCTCATTTTCACTAGGGTCATTAATGCTTCACCCAATCAAGCCCCAAAATACAGCCTTTGAATAATTGAAGCTAACTAAATGAAGAAAATAAACAAATTATACCTACTTATGGAAACTTATTTTAAAAAGGAGAATTGAAAGAAGCTTTCTACATGACCTAAATTTAATTCAACTAAGAGTACTTGAATTTAAAAGAAAGGTTGAGAAACTGAAGTTCAAAGAAGTAGAACCACTTATTCTTCCCCATCCCTTTGTCAGCAAGGAAAGTTCTATGTAGCTCCAGGGGATCCAACGCCCTCTTCTGACCGCCACAGGCACTTCATGACATGGGTACACCTACATGCATCCAGGCATAATATACACACAAAATAAATAAATAAATAAGAAATAAAAAACAAAGAAATGATTGTTCACAACCTAATCTAGTTCATGTTCAGTACTGTTTAGACTTGAACGGTTTCTGCTTATCAAAGAAGAAAAAGGTCTTAATGCAGTGAGACATTATTTCTAAATATTTTCCTATACTCCTCTTGAACTTTTATACTCTTTGGTAGTTTTTGTAAAGGCAACCATAAAATTCAGTGACACTTCTTCCATTTGTAAGATGAAATCTCTTTCCTTCCCTTGAATCTGACTCAGATTTCAGCAAGAATGACATCATGTGACTTCTCAGTATAGATCACAAGGATGATGCAGCTCCTGCCTTGTTTGCTAGAATGCTCGTGTGTGTATACAGCTTGGAACTTCCACATGAGAAGGCCAGCTACTGGAGGCCACTGTTTTGGGGGCATCTCAGGCCATGTGGAAAGGATTCATGAAGGTTAGACTGACAGTTTGAGCTAAGTACAATATTTGAGTGTTCCCAGAGCCTGGAGGTCGTTTGCTAGTCATGAAGCCACCCCATTCCCTGGCTCCACTCCCTCTCCAGCTGTTTGGAGTGTCCCAAAGGAAACCTTGGGCACAGTGGGACAAAACGAAGACATTTGCACTCAACCTTGCCATAATTCCATGCTACAGAATCCAGGAGCGTAGTCAAGTGGCTGTGTGCCTTTAAGGTTTGGGATGGCTTATTGAGCATCAAGAATACCTTGAGGTGAAAGATTCATTCATCTTATATGTGGAGGTTGCATTGAAAATGTGTCACTTAGAGCTAAGCATCTCACAGACAATTATTCTCTGTGTTTGACCAATTGTGGAACTCTGTGTTAGTCTCCATCTGATGCAAAAAGGAACTTCTTTGATGTATAGTGAGAGGTACACTTGTGTGTAAGGACTCCCAACCTAATCTAAGGAACTTGTGGCAACTGCTGGCTGCTGTGAATGAAAAAGGGACAATCTCTTTCA